ATTGTAGAATGATGAGATTAATCTTCTCGAGATATTTAAGTATTTATTGCTTGAATTTAAATGAAGACAGTATAAAAATTTAGAAAGGGGTTAATTGAATCATTGCTTCACTGAATAATTTGTCATTTATTCTATTAACAATTGTCTACAATTCTCATATCTAATAGGTACTTGATTTATCAAGAACAATATATTTTGAACGCTAGACTGCAAAAATTCCATATATACCGAAAAATTATTTAGTAGAGATAGAAAATAGAGCAGTTCTGATTCAACGGAGAAACGTAGCTATCTGAGCGCTCGATCGGATCCATAATTCGAACTGAAAGCGCATTACCCGTCCCAAATATGCAACTACGTCTGATATCGGAGGAGTATACAAAGTCCAACACTTTCGCGTTCGGTATTCATTGAAGCCTGTTCGCGAATCGAGGCTGAACGTACCTATGGATCCTGATCATCATTGTGTCAGCGCCGCGTCTAACTAAGCACCTTTGAACTTTACCAAAGACATTTGCTCGCGATACGCCCTACTACCCCTATCAAGCGAGGTAACGTTTACCTCAAATTGAATTTTCCCGCCCACGCTACGTACCGAGGCTATATGTATAACCAAACGAGAGAATGAATTTCGAAATTCAATAAACGTGTGTGGTTTTAAACGTTGCCGTGATTGACAATCTATTTCGTGCAAAATCTAGGAAAGAATTGATTCTAAATGTTCAAAACATATTTGTCCTTATATACGAATTTATATGCTTTTTATTGAATATTCTACTTTTAGGTGTATACTAAATGGTTATAATATATTTGTATGAATTTGATAAGAATAAAACTTGAGGAAATAAAATAAGTGTAAATGTCAAAATTAAAAACTTGAAATATCTTATATGAATTTTCTATGGCCGCAAGGTTCGCGATTTCAAATTGCGCATTTGACGATTGGAATAGTTCTGGTGAGTGAAGTCCAATTGGGGAGACAGTCGAATTTTTCAGAGGCATTTAACCTTGTGAAACGTGCATGTCAAACGCGACGGCAGGTCGGTCGAGAAAACTTCATAAAAGTCGCGATAAATAATAATTGGAATGAAACGTGAATGAAGACAGGGTTCACATCAGATGAGTTTTGCAGATTTCATTATTTCGTCTATCAATATAGTCTGTTATTTTGACCTCTCATGTCAAGTCACGATAAATATTTAATGGCTCGTGAGTAGCCCGCATCGTGGAGATACGTACATTTAGCTTTTCTACGTCGTAGACGAATCTAAATGTACGTATGATATTATATAGTTTCTGAGGATAAATCGTGAAATATTTGCAGTTATCGTTTTTCTCTTCCCAAGGTTTCATACAAATATGATGGGCATTTGTAAAAAAATTTTGATGACTGATTAGAATTTCTTTTTATTGTCCTAATTGATAAAACGAAACAACTTTAAACTATTTTTTTAAATAGTACTTTCTATATACTAAATGAATCAGATGTTATAAAGAAATAACAATCTTGTTTTAGGTGAAAGACTTGCGACGAAGGTGCTTGTCTAGTCGACCAGCTTGAATGGTTTAGATACGAGTTTGACAGGAACGGATTGATTGTTTTGGTGATTTATGTGATCTGACGGTGTTCTCGACACACTCTATGCTTGAATCAGAATGATTTTCGACGAATTTTCGATATATTGTCGGCGTTTACGAGGTGATCAATTCGAAGTTGTTCGCGGCTGACAGAATTTACATCTGAATATGAGATAGTTATGATATAGGAAATTGAATTTTAAAATATTTTGAGAGACAAGTTTTCTCAAAGTACAAACTGAAATTTTTTACATATTTGGATGTTTTAAAAAGAGCTCTATAACCTCAGATATTCTTTTATGCATTTTCAGCAGACAAAATTTTAATTTCTTTTATGAGAAAATATAAATGCAACAATGACAG